CCAAAAGTTCAGAATCTCAGCTCAGTGTGGCGAGTTTGACTGGCCATTTACACATCTTCGTGCACAAGAATCGGTAGATGCACCCGCGTACGTGTTTGTTGGCGTCTTATTCGTGTTCCATTCACATTCTGGTGGTCACGAGCTCAAGTCGTCAAGATCACAAAGAGTTGCGATGTCAAATGACAAGGATAGTGTTATCTCTTTCTGGATTCCAAGATGCTTTCGGCGGAAGAAAACTCCACCAACTGTCGAGATGATTGGAAACATATTCGAGCAGCGGATCATGCAGCGACTAAAGAAACACAAGCGATCGTCAAGACTGAAGCACTCACGACCTCGACCTATTAGCTGTGAGTTCAAGACACTCGACGTACCAGATCAACCCCTTCTTAAACCCAAATAAGAGCAGTGTCAAATGCTGAGCTGGGATTCATTCGCTGACAGTCCCCCGTCATCAGTCGGAGCTGAAGCAGGCGGTATCATCGGCACAACCCACATGAAGAATCCATGCGATGTTCTTACGTCGAGCAGATACACTGCGCTACTAGTTCGACAAGAAACCTTCCAAGAAGCTGCGTTTCGACTGCATCAACTCGCACATCTGGACATGAACAACTCGACTTCATCGTTCGAGTACCAAATTCCTCGACAATCAGATAGACAGTGGAGTACAGCTACCACACGAGGAAGTGTCGGCTAATACATAAAAATGTAAATGAATTCACCTGAATCAGCCTAGATCATATCCCCGTCTTCGTCGCTGTCTTCCAGGTCAATCATGAGTGAGTCAGCCTCCTCCGTTAGTTGGTTCAACCCCGTGAGTTCTTCCAAATACGCCGTAGAGTTGCACGCCTTTTCCAACAGACCCAGCGAATCAGCAGAGTACGCATCCAGCACCTTCGAACCACACGCAATGCACTTGTCGAATGCCTCGCCAGTGATCACCATGTTCTGGAAGGCATTCAGGAATCCACGAAGCTGATGAGGGATGTAGCCCATGGGAACAGAACCATCGCTTGGCTTCTCCGCTCCAACATATTTGCCTTGAGGGGAGTGTAACACAGCGACGAGAAGTTCTACCGCCGTTGCTGCTGCTATGGGGGCAAGACCTGGACGAGTTACAGTGCACATCTGGTCCAGCGTACGGTCCTTCAGTGAGTCTCGAGGACTCACGATATCATTGCAGAAGTAGCAGCCCAGCGATGGTTTAGTAGCGTCACCATCAGGATGAACGCCATGACGCATCACAAGGTAGCTGTCGAAGCCCAACGCTGCATTCAGAAGTAGTTTCTTCTTGGACGAGGCGATCACAGTGGGAAGCCAGCGACTCTCACGGGAGTCTGTGCCTAGAAAGATGACGTCATGCGACTCGATTAGCTGTTCCAGTGTCTCCAATCCGATTCTGGCTTCGTCCATCAACTGGGGGCTACTCAATGCATGTCCTGCCATGGGGATTGTCAGATTCACTGCCTGGG